TACTAAGAGCTATCCCCTACTAAGTAAATTCCTTGTATGACCATTTATATTTCAGCTATTTTGTGCTGTCTGAAAGATGCACATTGACCCACATAAGGGGAAAGAAAACAAATGTTACTGTTTTTAATGCCCTTGGCATTTAAGCCTGGCAAGGAATCTGGAACCTAATTTCCAGGTGCAACCAAAATTGAAAGGGGTGCTGGGTAGGCTTCCCACCGCTGGACTGGACCATCAGATGAATCTCACTACGATCAGTTGCTTATGTTTGAAAGAAAAACAAAGAATTAGTCAGATCTCAACAGACAGTGTATTAAATGCTAAAGCCACAAACAGCCCCAGATACCAAATTGTATAGATGCTTCCTTGAGTGCAGACACACATAACCATTGAACCATTCTAAAATGTCATTGTTTGGGAACCAGTTCACAAACGTTGCAGAACAGGGTGTGGACACATGTAACAACCAAATTGTCCCCAAAAGTCACTGATTAGGAATCAGTTAACAGTCATGTGAGCTGCTGTAGCTCTAACACCAAGCAGGGATAGTGAACCTCCAGCCCACCTCGTCTCATGTTGGGTGAGTTGGTTGGGAGAGGGGAGCACTTGCAATCATGCTTTGGTGGCCCCGGGAGAGTGCGGGGAGGAGAGACCAGTGCCTGGGGGTGTTTTCATATTTCTGCTTTTCCTTTTCTCCTAAATATGATAAGTGCTTGGGTACCACATTTTGTTTTAAACATCACCCCAGGCCCTGGGGTAGGGGACATGATTAGGAGCTGCCATTGAGTAGGACGTAAGGGCAAGGTTCTTAGAAAAAAGGACTTCTTTATTGAATAAGCAGTATAATGGTGTTCATTGATAGAAACTGCCAACAAAAGGAGGGGAAGGCGGTAGTAGAGTTCTGGTTGTGTACCAGAACAATCAATGTCAGGACTGAGGGGAGTGCGGGAGAAGGGAGAGGGGAGGTTAGGAGCAATGCAACTTAGGATGTCTGGAGGACTTACTTCACCTATTGCTTGATGGAAATAAGATCTACCAGGGGCTTGTGGAAGTTTCTGTGATATTTTCAAAATTCTCACTCCAAATAATCTCAAATCAGAAAATTTCCAGGATGTCAATAGGATTGGAGTGATACTGTAGCTGTGATAGTCGGGGAGACCACGTTTATATTTTGGTGATAAATTTTAATGAACCAACTGTATAATTGGGAGAGATGTTAGCAGAGCTGGCCTTAGGGAAAATGGTTCCCCGGGTGAACTTGTATTTTGGTGCTCCCCACAGCACCCACCTCCCCAAAGTCAACAGTACTGCTGTAGGAAGAGGCAGGTGGTCAAGGGCAGAGGGCACAGTTCAGTGGGGAGGCACAGCCACCCACACTGCCTGGCCAGGCTCCTCCTGAGCCATGTAAGCAGTGGCTGGGGGCACCGGGGGGATAGAAGTGAGCTGGGCAGTGTGAGTGGCTCTGCCTCCTTGCTGGACTGTGCTCCACACCTCTGCCTCTGCCTGCAGCAGAGCTGCTGGCCACTGCTGTGTGTGTGGGGCACACCCCCTGACCACAGCAACCTGGATGGTCACCCATGTCGCCCACCCCTAAGACTGGCTCTGGATGTTAGATAAGTTTTCACAAAAGCTTGTATCTATTGAAGCATCTGAAATAGGCTGTCACCTATGAAAGTTTACACCTCTGAACAATTTAGTCTCTTAAGTATGCCCTGCCTTCAATCATCAAATAAAGACTATTCTTTACTATAAACTATTTTTGCAAAAAAATTTTACTAGCTCTTGGCAAAAGCTGTTACTTTCTCCTTGCTCCATGTTATCACCAATCTTTAAGACAGAATTAGCAGAAAATTACTAATTTACCCACTTTGCGCTAGCTCCTCTACTCTGTCAAATGAGTGGGGTAGAATGGCACCATGGCTCTACCTGTTCCTCACTGGGCGCACCTACATGAGCATTTAAGTGCAACTAAATTTAAGGCCCATTAAGCTAACGTGCATTAAGCAATTTTTGGCAGGTGTCTACACATGCAGAGACTTGGCACTAAAGTTAGTGCACTTTGCATTAAAGTTAGTACCAAGTCCCTGCAACCCTGCTGTGTAGACCTGTGCAAAGCGGCTAGTATTTGCTTCAGATTTGGATTTGGCCAATTCGGGGGACAGTGATTTGATTTGGTGATTCGAATCACTGTCCCAAATCAATTTGGCCAAATCTGATTCAGAGATTCGGGCTTTCGAATCAGTCAAGTCTCCGAAACAAACAAGCCCCATCCCCCGCCCACTCTGCCAGCCCCATCAATGGCTGCTCTGCCCAGCCCCAGTGCCCCGGCTCATTAAAAAAAAAAAGCCCCGCACTCACCATCTCCTACAAGGTAGGAAGCAATCCCTGCTGTACCCCACTACCCCGCACTGCATGAGGGACTCTGCATTAGCCCTCAGCCCCTGCCCACTCTCCCAGCCCCAGCATCTCTGCTCTTAAAAATAAATAAATAAATAAATACATAAATAAAATAAAAGACCCACACTCACTGGCTCATGCCAGGCGGGGAGGGCAATCCCCACTGCCCCCTACTGCCCCACGCTGCATGGGAGACTGCCACAAGCCCCCATCTTCTACCCACTCTCCCACCCCCAACATGGATGTCCCGCCCACTCTTCCATCCCACCGCCCCATGGCTGCCCCCCACAGCCCAGAATCTCAGCTCTTTAATAAAAAAAAAAAGCAGCCCCTGCACTCACTGCCAGGGAGGGTGGGAATCCCTGCTGCCTGCCACTTCCCTGTACTGTGTGTGGGGCTCTGCTATGAGCCCCCAGAGGCCCCAGCAGCTAGTGAGTGTGGGTTTGGGTTTTTTTTAAAGCACCTGGATCTGGGGCCAGGTGGGGCAGCTATCGATGGGGCTGAGAGAGCAGGCAGGAGATGGGGGCAGAGTCCTCCATGCGGCGCAGGACAGTGGGGATTGCTCCCCCACTTGGCAGCAGCCGGTGAGTGTAGGGCTTTTTTTTTTTAATTTTATTTTAAAGCACCAAGTCGCTCAGGCCAGGCAGGGCAGCCATGGGGGTGGAGGCTAAGGGAGGAGGCAGGGGATGGGGCCTGGGGGAGGGGTTCCCCCATGGTCCTCTCCCCCCTCCGGATTTGGAGAATCAGCACCAAATCAGGCAGAATCTCCTCTGAATCGAACCAGCACCCAAAGCTTTGCACAGCCCTACTGCCATGTGTTCCTAGTGGTTGGGCATACCCGACACTAAAGTTAGTGCCGTGTTGCATCTGCATGTGCATTAAAATGTGCTTTAACTAATTGTGCCTACATTTGATACCTGCATTTGTAGGTATCAAATTTAGGCACGATTAGCCAAATTTCACCATTTTTAATGTGCATTAAAGGCACACATGTGTAGACATGCACCCGTAACGCACATTAAATTAGTTTAATGTGTCTCATGTAGATGTGCCCACTCGTACTTTCCATCCTTTCCCATTGAAGAAATAAGCAGGTAAAGTAGCCCAAGGCTTGAGTAGCCTGAGAACGGGGATGTGAGGTGAGCTTTTATTCCTTTTGGTGGCAATACTAGTGTAGCTCTCAGGCTACCTCTACGTGTTACATGTATTACACAATTGCTTGGTTAATTGTGCAATTAATTTAGATAGGCTATCTGTGCAAATTAACTACAATGCTTTAAAAAGGTCTGATCAGCTATCAAATTATTGCTGGAAAATGTGCAATACCTTTACAGCTGGTTTCTATCCAGCTTTAATTTGCACATAAAGCTTGTGCCCCCACATCTGGAAGACCACAGCTACTATGGTCCCTGAGGGTATGTGGTGTCAGCTGAGGGGGCTCCCAGGTGTCTGAACTTGCTTCTTACTGGTACAGGGGCAACCCAGGATTGGGCTCCCTCTGCACTGGGAATAAGGCGTGGTGGGTTCTGATTTGCAATCCCACAAGCATGCCTCCTGCCATGTATGTATGGCAGAGCAGGAGGCATGATTGCGTGGGTTGCACATTAAGCTATCCCATTTATGCCTTTGAGGGCCCTTGACTAGGAAAGAGAGAGAAACATTCAGGTAATTCTAAAATGCACACTTTAGATCTGAAGATTATATTTGTATTTCAAATAGTAAGTGCTAGAATGACAATCTACTTATTTGATTTTCAAAGAATAAATATTCCTTTAAAAAATGCATACATTGTTCTGTGGAAAGTCTGCTCAACATGCTTTTATTTTCTTTTTAAAATCAAACTCTGACTTCCAATAAAGCACTATACCATTTATGAACTCAACCTTACAGATTTCAGAAAATTACTCTCTTCAATTTTTCTTTGACACCTTTTCATTTAATTAAAAATTACTACAAGCAAACTCCTATGTTGTTTCACTTGAGATTGTGTAGAATATGAGGACAAGAAGCATGGAATTAGAATGCTATTTACTTTCAATTTGCTAATAAATTATTATAAATGGTTCAATGATTCCCTGCAATTAAGGTTTTCTACTGCTTTTCATTATAAGAATGAACCTATTTTAAATTGTATAGTTTTTCCAAATTTAAATGGTTTAGACTGAAATTTTCCTTGATAAATGCCTGCCTAGGGCTGAAGTTTTTCTGGAGAGTCTCAAACATTCCTCAAAATGAAAGTAGGGATTTGCCCAATTTATATTAAATTATTGCAACCATTTTGCTGAGAAATTTTATCACCTCTGGGCTTTGAGACATTGACTTGAAATTTGACATATTCAGGATGTGCCTTCGCCATTCTACTTAAAAAAAAAAAATCACCCACATTTCACCAGATTATAAACCTGTGAAAAATCCTAAACCACACAGGCTCTGCACTAGCTAGTTAAAGCCTCTGGTTTCCAGGCAATGGGAAGAATGAGGTGAAAACTGCCTGACTCAAATGCACAACATGGTAAATGGGTGGAATGCAAAATGCACATCACATCAAAGGGAAAAGAGCAAGAGCAGGAAAACAAAGACAAAGAATAGAAGCAGAAGATGGGGACAGATGGAGGATACTGAAATTGTGAGTGGTGGTTTGCTCTTTTTAAACTGATATAAAATGCTAAACCAAAAGAATCCAGTCTCAGATTGAACACTCAGTATCAGTTCACATTTTTTACAATTTTGGATTTAATCTCAGGCCTTCAGTTCCTCATGTATAAAATGAGAATAATAAGTAACTGAAATCATCTCCTTAGTGCCTGTAAAGATCTATGGAGCTACAATGTGGCATCATGGAAAAGCCCCTCAGGAATGAATCTGCATTCAATAAAGGGTTTTGATGGTGTGCAGTAAATAATGCATAAGGATGTACACTGAATTCTGAAAATAAGAGAAAATACTGAATAGCAACCAATGCAGTGAATCCATCCTGGGAACTAAATGTGCCAGGAATCCTGTTGAAAAAAAAAAAAAAAAATCACATGATCATATAATTGAAGAATGTGTCATTATACATATGCACAAGGGAACAAAGTTAAGGTTGCAAGAGCATGGTAGTCTGCAATCACTCTGGGCCCAATATGCTGGAAACACAAGGGGCTATTTATTCAGTGACTGGTTCTAGTCCTCGGTACAGAACATAAAAGGGCTCCTGCAACACCTCCTCTTGGAATTCCTGGGCACATCTACACATGAAATTAATGTGAATGAAAAAACTATGGCACATATAGTGCCAGAGTTTATTGCGTTTGGGTACCAATTTTTCACATGCTTCTGGGACCATAGTATGTTGAGCTGAGTCAGAGCAGCCCCAGTTGACAGGAGGCCAAGGAGGTCATCCTGCCAGCCTGGTGCTGCTCTGACCCAGCTCAATGTGCTATGGAGGGGCCAGCTGGGGCAGGCAGGCAGCCCCTCACTGAAGCATCCTCATGCCTCAGCCAGCCTCATCAGCATCTACACATGCATTGCTGTGCACTAAAAGAATGCCACCTCAAAATAGTACTTGTATTTATAGGTACTAACATGTGGCAGAGTTCATTAGTTTCCTGCAGTCTAATAGGGCCACATGTGTAGACATTGAGACTTTACTGTGGAGCAAATTAGGCAGCTCTGCAGTAATTGTCTTGTGTAGATGTGTCCCCTATGCCTAAAACTAAGCCACTTATATATTCCAGGACCCTGAGACAACCTTAATTCTGGCATTTCCCAAAGTCTGAGTGCTTAACTTTGCAACCTTAACATTATTTTAACATAATAACTCTCTTCTACATTTATCTATTGCTGAGCTATCTAAGCAAGCCGTTGGAATAATAATGCAGCCTGTATACCTCTTTAACAATTGGAACACAATTTTCTCTCTCTACCCAAACTGGGAGTAAACTAAAAAAATATTTATATCTAAGAGTACCTACAGGGTTCCAAAAATACCCTACATTTTGCCTGTTGCTCTACAGGTTTTCACATCTCAATCATATATCTAATGCGGTGTCCTCTTATTACACATGATGATAATGTATGTCCTTTAGTGTAAAAATAGACCATTCCATAGCTTCTAGATTTCTCACTCTTTGCATAGCAGCTATGCTGTTCATCATCATTTCAGGTGCATTTGCTGGAAGGCCACTGTAAAACACCTTAGTGCAACATATGCTGCAAGGAAATTAGAATACTACTAAGTGAGGGAGTGGATTCAACACATCTATGCATGTGAATGTTACCTGTAAGATACATATGCCCTGGAGGAGAGATATAAATATCTGTTTATTAAGAGCCAGTTCTAATGACAGTCACATAAATCTTAAATCTCAATACTGTACAAACCTACCCACAATGTTAAACTGAGTGAGACAATGGGATTACTCAGTAGTGTACAAAACTGAGCAAAAGTGTATTGACAGATTCACAGAAGTTTAGGGGTGGAAGGGACCTTGTGAGATCTTTGGGTCCAGGCCACCTGCTCTTTATACGGCAGACTAAGTTTGATCCTCATGATCAAGACCCTGAATGGGCTTCACCTCGGCTATTTCGAGTGCTATCTTTCTATGACCACAAATAATTTTTGTAGTAGTTCTCACTGAAAAAAAGACACAAACAACTTGAACCTGAACAGGGTTATAATTTGACAAGGAATTCGGGTGGCAGGGGTTGGGGGGTTTTTTGTACAGGTGTTACAAGTTCAAAAGAGCCATAGTTAAGAAAATTATTTCAGTGGCAGAGAAGCTCAAGCAGAGGGAACAAATATTGCAAATATAACGTGACTGGTGCCTCCTGGGTCTATGGGGGGCACCCGGGGTTCCCCCATGGCTGATTGCCAAGCTGGGGAAGCATGGGGGGGAAAGGGCCCAGCATACTCCCCGACAGACCTGGAAGTGGATTGGAAATAGTTCTGGTGCACTTCTGGGTTCACTGCTAAGCACATGGGGGACCCTCTACACTCCGGTGGGATGCCCCAGCATCACAGTGTTCATGAGGCATGCTGGTATCTTGAGGTATGTAGAACATTTTTTAAAGCTGTATCTATGTCTGAATCACTGATTCTCTGAATCAGCATTGAATCTTCAGATCCAGATTTGGATTAATTGAATCAGGGAAAGTGATCTAAATCAACTAATCGAATCACTGTCCCTGATTCAAGCCGAATCTGAATCCGAATTGAATAGGGCCCACTTTGCACACCCCTAGTATTCAGTTTCTAAAAAGAAGCACACCACAGCTGAAAATAACCATTTCTACCAAGAGTAACATTCAGATGAATAGAACTAGGTAAAAACATGAAAAACAATGTCATCTGGTAACATCCAATAACATTACAAAATAGCTTTCGGTTTTTTTGGTGGTGGCCCAGTGTTGAACAACTTCCACTTTATGCAATATTGAAAAAGAATTTTGCCACCTTTGGAACAAAATGTGTATTCAGTTCACATTAGATTCCCTATTGCAACTACATTAAAACAGTGCAAAAAGAAAATGAAATGTCTTTCATTACACATAATCAATAAAGGCTGTGTGAATAACTACTTTTTCAGTTCAGTGACTGAACTAAATGAATGAAAGAAAAAAATATTTGATTTGGATTGAACTGAAATAAACTTTCATTTTTTTCTGCAAACAAGAAATTTAAAAAAATATTTTGGGATTGTCACGGCGGGGTCCTGTAGGAGGGCCGTGATCTCCTTAAGGCCCCCTCTCCGTGTCAAGTTGGCCCAAGGGCACCCTCTATTTCTCGCCCGCCACGTCTTTGATGATTTAAATCAGTTGGGAGGCTGCCTTACGCCCTCTAGGACACGTCTTTATGTTGACTCAGACCCTGTGGTTTCCCGGACTCCTCGTGGGTCTTGTTCTGCAAACGGGTGCTTCGGAGCACCCTAGCCTTATGAGCTATGCGTGGCTCCAACCACCCCGATACCACGCCCCAAGCCTCGCAGATGGAATCGACGTTGGTCTGTCTCTATTTCCGTACACTGCCACCCCCTCCTGGGGCTCTCCTCGCCCTCTCCCGGGGCCTTCTCTGCGCCGTCACCCTCTCCCGGGGCCTTCTCTGCGCCGTCACCCTCTCCTTCTCCCAGGGCCTCAACACGCCCGTACTGGGGCTTCTCTATAATGCCCTCTCCTAGGGCTCGCCACGCCCACGCTAGGGCTTCTTAAAATGCTGCCGCCTGTTTGGGGCTTGCCGTGCCCAACTCGGGCTTCTTAAAATGCTGCCCCCTGTCTGGGGCTCTCCGCACCCACACTTAGGCTTCTCAGCGTTGCCCCCTTCCTGGGGCTCTCTGCGCCCATACTTGGGCTTGTCAAAGTTGTGCTCCCCTCTCTGGGGCTCGCTACGCCCACGCTAGGGCTTCTCAAAAGTGCACACCCCTCTCTGGGACTCGCTGTGCCTACACCTGGGCTTCTAAAATGTGCTGCCCCCCTTCTCTGGCACTTGCTACGCCCGCACTGGGGCTTCTCAATAGTGCCCCACCTGGGGCTTGCTACGCCCGCACTGGGGCTTCTCAAAATACCCGCTCTCTGGGGCTGGGGTCCAAGCACCCCATAAGCTGCGCCCTTACTGGCACTGGGGTCCTCACACTCTGCTGTGAGGCCCCTTTGAGGATGCTGCGCCCTCACTGGCGCTGGGGTCCTCACATTCCGTTGTGAGTCCCCGATGCGTATATTGTGCCCGCTCTGGCGCTGGGGTCCTCACACTTCGTTGCGGGTCCCCAATGAGGCCTCCTCCAACCCCTTACAGCCTCACCCAAACCACCAGTTTAATAAACAACAAAATGTTACAGAAACTCGAGCCTCCTGGCTATAACATAATGTAAAGCCGCCTGGCTAAACCACATTGCACAAACGCCCCTAGAGCTGCCATCCATAACTCTGCTCAAGCAGTACCTGTGGGTCTCGCTGTTTCTCGCATCCCTACTCCAGGAGCTCCTGCCTCTCTGGCTGCTGGCAGGGAACTACCAGCCTCGCCTCAGCCCTGGGCTTTATGAGGGCCAGGCCCTGCCCCTTCTGGTCAGCTGACTGCCTGGTTGCCCCGGGCAACCCATAGCTGAGCTCGTTATTCCCTGCCAGGGCTCTCTCCCTGGCAGTTTCCCCTCTCTAGGAGCAGGGCACCTCAGTGCTCTGCGACAGGGATAAATAGAGAAGTTGGATCAACCTGAAACAAAATGTTTCATTTCTATTGTGGGCATTAGTAATCAAACTGAAGCTATAAAAATGAATAGCTAGACTTAGGCATTGTTTACAAATCCAAGGAGGAGAAGAGTGTGCTCAGGAAACTCACCCCTTTATGCTGATGACCCAGGGCTAAATACTTCCTCTATTTGAGGACTTGAATCCATGCCACCCAGGAAAGTGACTCAGTCACCATGCTCTCAAGGATTCTGGGGTGGGAAGTTCTTAGATATCTCTTGTTGATACCATTCTACTTTTTATAAAAGACTTAAATACTTACTATGCAAGAAAAAGATTGAAAATAATTCTGTAGACTGGTGGTTAGAGTGTTCATCTAGGACAGGGGTGTTCAACCCCTGACCCTTTGGTCAGATCTGTCCCATAGAGCTGTGTCATCCAGCCCACTGGGCTCCCCCAGAGGTATAAAAATTTGGTGGCAGGGAGCAATAACCATTCCCCCGCTGACAAATTTCCAGGCCTGGGAGAGCCCAGTGGGCCACACAGCGTAGTCCTCTATGCTAAAACAGGTCCATGTCACTTGAATGGCACAGGGCCCAGTCCAGGCATGTGTGCCCAAGGGCTGTTTTTAGCCTGAGTGGTCTAACCATGAGGCTACTAGATAAAAGTGGGTAGCCCTACCTCCCCATCCAGGTGAGTTTACCACATGGTTTGTGGGTGATCTAAATAACTTTTTGCTGCAAATAAATTATCCACCACATTTTTTCCACTGCAAATCATACTGCAAAGGAATATAGTATGAAAGGCTACAAAAGTCTAGTCTCCTAATATTGTTGACAACCACACTATGTAACATTTCTTAAAACAAGTTTGTCTCCTGCTACTGCTATTGGAAAGCTCTTTCACAATTTTACTTCTCTGGTGGTTAAAAACCTTCCTGTAATTTTCATTCTTAATATATTCATGGCTAATTTATACCCATATACCGTTTCACTTTTATACAACTTGTATGCCTATATTGGAACTGGGAAGGGTTACTGCAGAGCAAACAGGCATTCCTAAACTAGCTTTAATCTAGCTACCTCAGATACCAACAGCAATGAAGGCTCTACTGTGCCTAGGATAATAGGGCCCGTATGCCTAATTAAGACATCTAGGCTCCATCACCATACAAAATAATAGATGCTGCAATATTCTCTTTTAGCTAGATAGTTTAACTTATGATTGTATTCTCGTACATTATGCTTGGTAGTGGTCATTCATCCCAACTTGACATCTCTGCTGTGGGTACTCCTGCAGAGAAAGTTTGGATTTTATCCAAATGATGGGAAATTTTGCCCATTTAGATTATCTGAAGCTGATAAGCTTTCTACTGGAAAGTTCCCATCTGGCTAAAAATACTGCTACTGCATTTTTTTCAGGGATGTGACTTCTTTGCAAATGACCCTACACTACATTCCAGAACTAAAATTGTAAAACTTCTTCAAATTTATATCATGTATAATGTGAGCTATTGTTCTAAACATGTTATTCTTATATAGAACAGAGTTAAAATTGAACTTAGGGAACTAGTGGAAAATAAATAATGTCAACACTTTCTGAAAAGAAGAATGCATCTTTAATGGTAAATATAGAGAGATCCATGAAGTCCCTTATAAAAATGCTAAAATATTTGATAGTAAAGTTGTCTAGTAACAAAGATTCTCTATAATAATACTATGTATTCCATAACATTATGTCCATTACGAAAAGATACCATACTGCTAATAGTAACATGTTTTTTCTGTCCTCTCATACTTTATTTCTAAACCTATGCACATGATTTTTGCCAATTGACTTCTGTGTTATAAAGGGATGTGCTTAATGTTAAGCATGCATTTAGATCCTGTTTTGAATAAGAATGTTTTCCTGAATTGGGACCTAAGTTTGTGGTTTGATATGACTGTTTATCTTCCCCTTAAAGTGAAGATTAATGTCTTTCTTAATACAAAACTTTCTGTAATACAATTTATACAATATCTGTATAAAATGAAATTGAAAATATAAAGATTTCTACCACAATGCTGGTGACAAATTGCAATCTATGGCTGACAATGCAAAAATTGTTGAGCTATACAAATATTTCCATTCTGTATGTATAGAAGACAATTTATTTCAGTACAATGAGGCTGTGCAATGACAACAATAGGATATAGCATGGGTGGTTATGAAACAACCATTGTGTAAATATGTAAGAAAGCAGTAAAGAAGGAGAATAAATATAAATAAAGCGTACATGAGCACCTCTTTTTTCCTCATACAGTGAGACTTTCTGTCCTTTGTGTAACTTCCCCCACCAACCCTGCATCATATATTTTAATTGCATGTAAATTACAATTAGTACAAGTTGCCAACTTAAAAAAAAATAAAAGGACTGGATTATCAACTGATATAAGAAGACACAATTTCTTAGAAATCACTAGAGCAGTGGTTCTCAACCATTTTAGATTAAAGACACCCCTCATTTGACTCAAGTCAACCCTCAGAAAATGCCAGCTCTTTGCTTTCACTTGTTTTTTGTCTTGAAATTATGGAAATATAATAATGCAATTCTTCTGCTGTAAAGAACTCAGAAAGGCCAAAACTGGTTAGAATGTTTTTGACACTATATATTCCTATTTGAAATTCCTGAGCTTGTCTTCTGAATCACGTGAAGGTGATTGCACATCTAAAAGTGCTAATATTTCATTGCACCCTGGTTTAAAATCTTAGCACAAAAACTGTTCTGGTTCACATAATCTGTGGATCTGACCTCAAAATCTTAGACTCAGTTTAAAAGATTTTTCACAACCAATCTCTTCCTTTAAAAAGTCAAAGTAGACAATTTAAGAAAATAACTTACCAGAAGGGTCAAAGGCCACCTGGTTGCCAGGATGGGGTCCTGCATCTATAGATACCATTGGTGATACCTTCCGAACATCCCACAGCTTCATCACACCATAGGAGTCACAGGAAACAATAGTGTCACCCTGCCAAGTATTGAAAAATAAATTACTTTTAAAAAGCTTATGAAAGGAAGAGAATTCAGAGATGTTAAATTGTTATTTTATGAATACCAAAAAGCAACAATTTGATTAATGTGGCAACTGACCAGGTCAAAATGGGGAAATTATTGTGGTTTGGTTTATTAGAATTTCCTGTGTAACTCTATTGCTTTAACTTATTTTGGGGTAGTGCCAAAGTATGCTCCTATGTTGCGTATATCCAGTGGTGACTGTGTGGGGGAGGCAACAGAGCAGCTTCCAGATAAAAAAATTCCCTGTCCAAACTTGTAGTTGAAAATCTTGTTCTGCCATAGTTCAAAGTTACCAGGTCTAAGGACTATAGACCCTTAAAAGGCTAGGGAGTTGACAGCATGCTTGGAGAAAAAGATAAGCTCAGAGAGAGAGAGACTCTGCAGAAGACTCTATGAAGAATTAATCCCACACCAAGATCCCTTGCAGAAGATGGTAAATGCCTGATAAAGCAGACATGTGCTTTGTCCATTTTGTTGTTCTTGACATTTTTTTCCTGAAATGTTTCTGTTCTAAAGAAATAGTTTAAGATGTTGCTTGTCCACTTATAACCACTATGATTGCCAGATCTAACTTGCTCAGGAAACAAATTCTGGAAACATAGGTAAGATACAGGCTACTAAAGCATGTAAAAGGGAATTATGTTTATGTTAAATATATTTAAGGTTTATGCATTTAAAGTTCTGTCAAAACTTGGAGAGAACAATTGCCCCAAAAGTTACCCTATGTACCTCAGCTAGGAAAATGTAATTTTGGTGTGGAGTGGCTCAGGATCACAAGAGGCACTGATATGAAGGCAACTGGGGACATATGTTATGTTTGCACTTCATACCAGTGTGAACGAAGGGCAGACGCACAACATAAACCTCTACAGTGGTATAAGAGCCTTGAACCCAGGATAAAGTTGGAAAAATCTGTAGTGAAAATATAGTGGTATGAGTCAGGGGTTCTCAATCCTTGGGCCATGGCCCAGTGCTGGGCCACAGCGGGTCAGCTGCTGGACCAGAAGTGGCCACGAACTGGCAAACTGCAGCCCCACAGAGCTGGGTGGAGAGGCCACAGCTCCTTTTGGAGGGCCTGCAGTAGCACAGGGTTTGACCCACCCTGCCACCCAGAAGGTGGTGGTATCCTTACCTGCCTTTGGGATGGAAATTCCAGCCACAGTCGGCTGTGACTGCTGGGCCACAGTTTGCTGGGCTGCGGCCACTTCCAAGCCATGGTTTGCCGGGCCGCAGGATAAAAACTTTGGGAACCCATGGTATAGGTTACACAGTGGTGAGCATCACATGTCCACTTCTGTCTTACATATTCATAGATGTTAGGGTCAGAAGGGACCTCAGTAGGTTATTGAGTCCAAAACCCTGCCCTGGGCAGGAAACAGCCCTGGGGTCAGTCGACCCCAGCTAGGTGCTTGTCCAGTCTCCTCTTGAAGACCCCAAGGTAGGGGAGAGCACTGCTTCCCTTGGAAGCCCATTCCAGATTCTGGTAACCCTTACTGTGCAGAAGTTCTTTCTAATGTCCAACCTAAATCTTCTCTCTGTCAATCTGTGGCCATTGTTCCTAGTTACTCCAGGGGCTGTCCTAGTAAATAGAGCATCTCCTATTCCCTGCTGCCCTCCCCTGATGAATTTATAGGCAGCCACAAGGAAACCTCTCAGCTTTCTCTTGTGAAGGCTGAAGTTATCTAGGTCCCTCAGTCTCTCCTCATAGGGCCTTGCCTGCAGGCCTCTGACTATACGAGTGGCCCTCCTCTGAACCCTCTCAAGATCCTCCGCATCCCTCTTGAAGTGTGGCACCCAAAACTGGATGCAGTACTCCAACTGCAGCCTGACCAGTGCCGCATAGAGAGGAAGCATCACCTCCCTGGACCTGTTGGTCATGCATCTGCTAATGCATGATAAAGTGTGGTTAGCCTTGTTGATCAGGGGAGGGGAGTTCAAGATGAGTGGTTGCTCCTCAAGGGAGCAATCCTGGATGTGCAAGCGAAGTCTATCCCATCTCGGAGGAAAGGCAGCAAAAGGGCACAACAGCCCCCTTGGCTCTCCAGGGAACTAGCGGACCTCCTTCATCTTAAAAGGAAGACCTATAAAGGATGGAGGACTGGAACCACCACCAAGGAGGAATACTCTTCTGTAGTCCAGACCTGCAGAGAGCAAACCAGGAGGGCCAAGGCTGCGATGGAACTCCAGCTAGCTACAAATATCATGGACAATAAAAAGTCCTTTTTTAGATATGTGGGGAGCCAGAGAAAAAGCAAGGGCAACATTGGACCCCTGCTAAACCAGATGGGACAACTGACAAACGATGCCCATGAAAAAGCAAACTTGCTTAATGGGTACTTTGCATCAGTTTTTCACCAATCCCATGGGATTCCTCTGCCCACTGTGGGTCAGGGAGGCCCGGGTGAGGGAGATTTCTTACCCTCCATCGAAGATGACCTCCTGAAAGAACACCTTGACAGGCTGGATACCTTCAAGTCAGCTGGCCCTGATGGTTTACATCCAAGGGTACTCAAGGAGCTGGCAAGCATCATAGCTCAGCCCCTGGCATGGATCTTTAAGAACTCCTGGTGCTCTGGTGAAGTGCCCAATGATTGGAAGAAGGCCAACGTGGTGCCTATCTTCAAGAAAGGGAGGAAAGTACATCTGGCAAACTATAGGCCCATCAGTCTGACCTCTATCCTAGGAAAGGTCTAGGAAAAGATGGGGATGGAGGAAGCCTCATTTTATCCTGGGTAAGATATGAAACTGCACCCTGCTGGGCAAGGTGGGGTCTAGTGGGGCTCCCTGTGGCAAGGGAGCCCCTAAGAAATGCCAGGCCAATCTCCTTCCTGGTTAAAGGTAAGTGTGGGTTGCCTTATAACCTCAGCCCCCACATCCCTGGTGGGTTTAACTGGTACAGCGGGAACCCAGGCTCATGGGAGTCCTGAGGCAGCACCCAGGTTGGCAGAGGGACCTGGAGCAGCATCCAGGCTCTTTGTGAGCCCTGTGGCTGCAAGAACCCTGAGAGGGGTCAGGCATGTCTATGGCCACCTGAGCCTCACAGGGTGTAATACCCCAGGTCAGAGGGCCAGGCTATGGCCACCTGAGCTAGATGGGGTAGCAGATCCCAATGAACCCCAGTGAGGAGGTGGTGTTTGAGCCCCTGTGAAGGGATGGTGTGGGGAGCCACAGTGAGGGGGCTGAGGGCTTGGAGCCCAGTATGTGTTTGTTTGTCTGTTTGTGTATATGTGTTATGAAAGACTTAGTGCAAACCACTGGTGGATGCCATCTGTGAGGCTTGGGCTGCAGTGTAGAGGTGGAACGGAGCTGTGGATATCTCCCCTAAACATCGGGCTTCAAAACGGGCACCCTCCCACCTGATTAACATCCCAAGACTATTACATCAAGGCGGCAGAAGAGTGAGGTGGGCGGCTGGCCCATAGACAAGAGGCAGGTCAGTGCTTGCACCACGTGTGAAAGCTTGCCCCATACCAGCAAAGAAAGAATTAAAAACTCATCATATAGACAGCAGAAATATTCTCATTACCCTTTACATACCTTGTCAATAAAGTTGGTGTGTAAAGTATCAGTAGCACTGAGGATAAATTCAGAGCAACTCAAACAATTTCAGTGTGTTGCCCCCTGATATATATTGGAGTGTGAGACCACATTGTATCATGTTGACTTCAGCTTACTACAGCTTTCAAATGGGTCAGATGCTATGCCAGAACTTTGACAATATACCTTTAATTTTCTTTTCTTTTCTGGAGATAATTTATGCAAGAAAAATTGTAGGGTCATCAAGCAAATAAAGGCATTTAGACTTTAAGACATCTATTGCCTTCCACACGAGAAGGTAATGACTTGCAATCCAATATTACGGTATAAGTATAATGAAATGTTTAGGTTCATTTGAAAGAGACCTAATATTTCAGAACTTGTTTCTGACTTGTTACAGGTATAAAGGAATGCTGGGAGCAAAATAATTAAAAAGAGACAACGTTTAGTCATTGTTCACATTTTTCAAGGTACAATTAGGGGCCATGTTTCCCAAATTTCCAAGTACATGTATTTTCAGTCAGAGCTGCAGGTAAGTTAATTTGCCACTTTTACAGAAGAACCTGAGCATTTCAAGGGTTGGGCACTTTGAAAAAGTCTAGCCCTACATTATACATAAATTGTAAACATATTTTATATATAGTATGAAAATGTATTACAGAACTACCAGCATGTGTAGTATTCAGGAAATAAAATTATAAAATATATTCTAATGCTAATGTTTATATATAACAACAGCATTCAAATGTTCAACTAGGTTGATGTTTTAGTGTGCTATGCACTGCACAAACAGAGTAAATGACAGTTCCGGCTTACAAATGCTTTTAGTGATTTTTGACTGCACCATAAGTTCTAGAAAGGAAAAAGGAACTACAGTGCTGTTTATAATGAGGGTAAATTATTAATTTTATTTTGGCAGTTGATTACTCCCTCTATGAGACAGTTTATATGCATTGACATGTGCATTTTCATGAAGCAAAGCCTCTCCCCATTTCATACCCCTGCTATCCCATGTTCTGTCCTCTTTAGTAGAGTTTTCTTGTCACTACCCTGCAGCTACTGATGATGAGGATAGCTCCTTCCCTCTTATCTCCATCAGGTGTGCACTTAAAACATATGTCTTCATTCTTTTATGATGGGCATGTAAGATAGCCTACAATCAAGCCCTTAGCTTGTACTTGGTTCAAGTATATCTGATCTACACAACCCCAGCTTTTCATTCTAATTCAGGAAGTGACTTATGGCTGTTTCAATCTGGATAGCTTCAAACATGTTCTATAAAGATCATTATTAATATTTCATGTTTGTACTGCAGTAACATATAAGAATCTCAGTTACATACTGGGACCATGTTGTGCCAGGCACTGTACACACAAAGAACAAAAAGATGGTCCCTGCCCCAAAGAGTTTAAAATC